ACATGCCAGATACTGTGGAGGCTGGGTCCTGGGAGCTGGATGACGTGAAAAGAAAGAAAGAAAACGGACAACCCAAGGGAGAGGCAACGCTTTCTCCCGTGGCCGCCCCCGCTAGTTTCCGCCACGCGGCGGGGTGCGGCGGAGGCCGGCGTGCGCCGGCCGCGCTCGAGACCAGCCGGCGGCCTGGGAGGGCTCTCACGAAGCTGCGAGCCCTCGGCGAAGCGAAGCGTCCGCCGGCGCCGAGAGGCGATTCACGCGTGTAATGTGTGAATGCACAAACAAGTGGCTACGAAATGAGACGATCCGGGGCGTTCTGGATATCTCCGAGAGGGTGGGCACGCGTGTGTCGTGACGGACTGCTCTGGTTTGGAGGCTCCAGCGAGTATTTGTGGAGAGCGCATCGAGATTCAATCGAGATTGCGGAGCTACGTCGAGGTCAAAACGTGCAGGTGTGAGGCCGCTGGTGCCTCCGTGTGGCGCTCGGGAGACGGGACCGCTCGGGCGGGCGGCTGGGCCGCTTGCGGCCCGCCTCCGGCTGGGCTGCACGGCTGGGCGGCGCGATAGTTCCGCGCGCCGAGTTCCCCCAAAGCAGCGGAACGCACCCTCTACTCGGAGCTAATGAACACCATGGACACACACGTACTAATGAACACACTAGACATACTCACATACACGTACTTCATCAAACGCCCCCTCTCAAGTCCGCTTCGCAAGGTCTCGCCCCTCCTTTCCCTGGGGGGACCTCTCCTCTTCTCCCTTTTGTATGCCTTCCGCCGGTTGAGCGACGGCTTCGGAGCCCCTCTGCCTCTTCTTCTTGCTCAGCCGTGGCCTTGTCTCTTCCTCCTCCTCTATGCCCGATCCTGCCGACTCCGAGGGCGACGACGGCCCAGCACGTGTCTCGGGTCCACGCGGCACCGTTCACACGAACACACCCAGCACCTGTCGAGGCTTCTCAAGCTCGCTCGTCGGACGTTCCGACCGGCCGCCCAGCACGCTCAACCGCCAGTGGGTCGCCGTCAGGGCCAGAGACAAGAGGAGCAGCCAGCACTGCCGGTACCGTGGCTGGACGCCGACCAGGCAGGACAGGGTAAAGACGGCGGCGGCGCAGAGCGTGGCCAGGGGGCCGATGAGGGTTTTAATCACCGGCCTTCCGAGCCAGAGCGTGTCACTGTGCAGGTCGCAGTAGAGCGTGTCGAGCGCGGGCATGCTGATCGAGTAGTCGCTGGCTCTGCGCAGCGTGTCGAGCACGAGGATGGCGGCCAGTCCCGGGTGGACGATTGAGGTGATGAGCCCGACGATCAGGGTGCAGGGCGTAACGGCGAGCATGCTGCGGTACCCGCAACTTCGCATGAGCCGCGCGAAGAGCAGCAGCTGCACGGGCAGCGTGATGACGCCGTACGCTAGCTGGAGCTTCGCGATCACCTCGACTCGCTCAGCGTCGGACGCGAATCCGCTGGTCAGGAGCTCTGCGCGCTCGTACCAGATGCCACTGGTGATCATGGCCGATACGAAATGTTGGGCGGCGAGCCATCGCAGCGTCCTGTCCCTGGCGATGATGCACACGCCGCCAAACGCAAAGGAGCAGCACGACTCGGCCCGCGCCCCGCTAGCCTGGCTGTCCGGAGCATCGCAGTCAGCGTGACCGCCGCTGTCGTCACCACGGCCGTCGTGACTGCCGGCAGCGCAGCGGCCTCCCCCTCCCTTGCCGTTTTCAGCGCCCTCACTTCCCTCTTCACCCTCATCGAAAGACGCAGAGCGGCAGTGCACCAGGTGCACGGTGGCCTCATACATCGCGCACGCGACCAAAGTAATTTGGGGGCCGAAGCGCTCAAATAGAAGCCCTGCCACGAACGATCCGAGCAGCAACCCCGACTGCTTCGCGAAATATATGATGCCGTATACCCGCTTTGCCTCTGGCCGCGTGTGCACCGACGCGAGGAACGAGTCGTACAGCACGGGCGGGTAGACGGCGACAATGCCGCCGTAGACGGCCAGGCAGTAGGCCACCGCGCGACTGTGTGGCCACGACGCGGCGAGGGCCGTCAAAGCGAGGAGCAGCGTCGCAATTACGCGATAGGCGATGCCGATGAGCCGTATGGGCAGCACCCAGCGCTGGGCGTACTGGTAGAGAGGGTTCACGGCGACACATAAAAAGGTCTGGCCGACGTGGACAAGCGGCAGGAGGTCTATCCCTAGGCTGAGCGCGACCACCTCGAGCAGCGGAGTTGCAATGCCGTACGCCGCAATGACTGCACAGCCGCCGAGCGCCGACAGCCTCAGTGGGCCGACATCAGAGGGCTCGAGGTTGAAGGCGCTGCGCAGGCCCTCCCGGAATGCCCCGTCCGGCCCGAACGCCCGCAGCGAGGACCGCATGATGAGTTTGGGCGGGGACACAGCCTTCAAGGGCTCAACCATCGGCTACTCGGCGTAGGGTCCCTGGGAACGAAGGGACGCTCGTTATTATCGGGTTCTCCAGCTTGAATTTGTCTTGTACTTATTTTAGCTTACTGGGAGAAAAGAGAGAGGGGGTTGTGTTCTCTAGGCCCCTAGGGGCCCTACGCGCGGCGTGAGAGCT